TAGATACTAAGGAGGGTGAAAATATATGTATAAACTAGCTAAACAAAGAGAAAAGAAAAGTAAAGATTTAACTCAAGTAAAGTGTATTAAAGATGAAAATCAAAAAGTACTTTTCTTAGAAAAAGATATTCAACATAGGTGGGTGAGTTACTTTGATAATTTTTTTAATGAAGTTTCTGAAAATACGATCGACCTTAGTGATCTTAATATCGTGAATAATAATAAAACGTTTCATTTTTACCGTCGCATTAGTAAAAAAGAAGTTAAGGAGGCTTTAAAAAAACCAATGGTGGAAAGTCTGTAGGACCCGATGATATCCCAATTGAAGTGTGGAAATATTTGGGAGATTTGTGAGTTTATTGGCTTACTAAACTCTTTAATATTATTTTAAAAACTAAAAAGATGTCTGAGGAGTGGAGGAAGAGTATTTTGGTTCCCATTTTTAAGAATGAAGGGGATGCACAGGAGTGTGCAAATTATAGAGGAATTAAGTTGATGTGTCATACTTTAAAGTTTATGGGAGAGGGTAATTGAACATAGGTTAAGACGCACCACAATGGTTTCTCATAATCAATTTGGATTTATGCCAGTCAGGTCTACTATGGAAGTTATACATTTATTGAGAGGTTTGATGGAGAAGTTCAGAGATAATAAGGAGAATCTACATTTGATTTTTATTGATTTAGAAAAAGCTTACGATAAGGTTCCAAGAGATATCCTTTGGAGAGTTCTCGAGAAGAAATGTGTTGATATGACTTATATTCAAGTCATTAAAGATATGTATACTAGAGCTGTTACTTGTGTTCAAACTGAAGGAGGATTGACAAAATATTTTCCTATTTCTGTTGGTTTACATCAGGGATCGACTTTAAGCCCATATCTTTTTGCTTTAGTTATGGATGGTCTTACTGGACATCTACAAGAGGATGTACCTTGGTGTATGCTTTTTGCTGATGATATTCTTCGCGTGGATAAAACGAGAGAAAAAGCCCAGGAAAAACTTGAATTATGGAGGTCTACATTGGAGTCTAAAGGCCTTCGTTTAAGTAGAACTAAAACTGAATACATGGAATGTAATTTTAGTAGTAATAGCTCTAGTGACAGAAGTGTGACTTTGGGTGATCAAATTATTAAAAGGTGTGAACGATTTAGATA